AAGGGGAAACAATGAATAAGAAAAATGAATAACTGGAATTGAATATTGCATTAATTTTATTAACTGGCCAGACATATCCAAAGTGAGCCATTATGCCAAACTTTTTTTGTCCTGTAGGGATGTAAATTTTGCACATTAGTAATCTAAAATTAAGGATATTTTTAGATATATTACATTTGATCTTTTGTTATACATTTAACATATGAAACCAATACTTTTTTATACATACGCATATATCTTTTAAAAATTATGTAAAACCTTTTTGAAATACTGCTAGTTTTTAGGAGAATATCAGATTAAATTCATAATGACTCTAGAACTTATGAATTAGGTTCTGATTATTGAAACATATGTGTATTATTATGCAGTCATAACTGTGAAATTTGTGTTGATATTTGCTTGACAATATTTAGTTTTTTTCACCAGATTGTACAATTTGTAACGAACAGGGTTAGAGAGCATTTAAATACTTGTATTTGAAATGCATTGACATGTTCATCCACACCCAGTTGAATGACCCGTTTTCCTTTGCAGGTTTTATATGTTCGCCAACTATGAGGTTTTTGTCTGATTTGTTTGAAAATCAGTTGTTTTAAAAGGAAATTCCATTTTTTTTGTGATATATTTCATTTATCATTTTTTCAAGCCAAGTTAGCCTAAAGGCAGATGTCACAACGTTTTTTAGAGGATCGGGTGAGAAAAGGAGCAAGTTGGTTAGCACTGGGTGTAGCGTACTTCGTTCCAACAAGTGATAAGTTAACAAGAGTTCTTACACTTCTTTTGTGTACCGGAAGCTACTGAAAGATCTTCTCTCTAAAAAATCTTACCACTTAAGTGAAATTTGATGGATATAATAAAAATACAAATTTTTGGCGGATAGAAATTAGAATGTAGAACAATTTTTGAATTTTTTGCAATTTTTGTAAAATTAGGGTTTTCAACAAAAATGAGACCCGTGCATTCACATGAATGTCCGTCATACTATCAAACAAGAAATTAATAAAAAAACGTTTAGCTCTTTTTTTATATATTTATGGTCACATCACTGCAAAAGGTTATTAGCAACATCTAACAAATACATTGTTTTTGTGCGTGGGAGTTGTTATAGACTTGGGGAGGGGACAATTCATATCACAATATTAACCAGTTTGTACATTTTTCTTATATATCACTGTACAAGTTTATGCCTTCAAAGATTGAGAAAACGAC